CTTACTCTTCGGAGCAACTGGCTCAGGTTTACATCCACGAGATAGTCAGACTTCATGACGTACCAGTATCCATCATCTCTGATCGAGGTACACAGTTTACAGTTCTGGAGAGCCGTACAGCGTGAGTTGGGTACTTGGGTGGAGTTGAGTACAACATTTCACCCTCAGACGGACGGACAGTCCAAGCGCACTATTAAGATATTGGAGGATATGCTTCGTGCATGTGTGATTGATTTTGGGGGTGCTTGGGATCAAGTCTTTCCACTTGCGGAGTTTGCCTACAACAATTGTTATCGGTCGAGCATTCAGATGGCGTCGTATGAGGCTTTGTATGTTAGACAGTGTCGGTCTCCAGTGGGTTGGTTCGAGCCGGGCGAGGCTAGGCTATTAGGTACAAACTTGGTTCAGGATGCCTTGGAAAAAGTTAAATTGATTCAGGATCGACTTCGTATAGCCTAGTCCATGAAGAAACTTATGTGGATAGAAAGGTTCGCGACGTTGCATTCATGGTTGGGGAGTGGGTCTTGCTCCGGGTTTTTCCCATGAAGGGAGTTATGATGTTCGGAAAGAAGGGAAAGTTGAGCCCTAGGTATATCGGGCCTTTTGAGATCCTTAAGAGGGTTGGAGAGGTGGCTTACAAACTTGTACTACCACCTAGTCTCTCTACAATTCATCCAGTATTCCATGTTTCCATGCTCCGGAAGTATCACGTCGATCCATCTCATGTGTTAGACTTCACCTCAGTCTAGTTGGACAAGGACCTATCTTACGTTGAGGAGCCAGTGGCCATTTTGGACAGGCAGGTTTGAAAGTTGAGATCAAAGAACATCGCTTCAGTGAAGGTTCAGTGGAGGGGTCATCCGGTCGAGGAGGCGACTTGGGAGACCGAGCATGATATGCACAGTAGTTATCCTCATCTTTTCACCGCTTCAGGTATGTCTCTATACTCGTTCGAGGACGAACGTTTGTTTTAAGAGGGGGAGGATATAACGACCCGGTCAGTCGTTTGGAGAGAATTATCCCTGAACCCCTATTTATTGCTCATCTACTTCATTTAGTGGTTATGTAACTTGCCGGGAGGATTTGGTTTTGGTTTCGGAGTGAAATGGGACACATAGTTCTTAAAATGGAAGTTTAAGTCGTAGGAATCGACCGTAGTTCGAACTGTGTGAAGATGACTCTGGAATGGAGTATCGACAATTCCAGTAGCTCCGTAGGGTGATTTTGGTCTTAGGAGCGTGTTCGGATGTTGAATTGGAGGTTCGTAGGTCATTTTAACATCAATTGGCGAAAGTTGGAAATTTGATGAATTTTTGGGAGGTTTGACCGAGAGTGGACTTTCTTATATCAGAGTCAGATTCCGATTCCAGAAGTTGGAATAGGTCTGTAATGTTGATTATGACTTGTGTGCAAAATTTGAGGTCAATCGGAATTGATTTGATAGGTTTTGGTGTTGGATGTAGAAGTTTGAAACTTTGAAGTTCATTAGGCTTGAATTGACGTGTAATTCATGTTTTTAGCTTTGTTTGATGTGATTTAAAGGCTCGGCTAAGTTCTTGTGATACTTTAGGAATGGTTGGTATATTTGGTTGAGGTCCGAGAGCCTCGGGTGAGTTTCGGATGGTTAACGAATCATTTTTGGACTTAGAAGATTTTTTGGTGTTGGGCTGGTTCTGGTGTAATCTCACCTGCGCAAGGCTGATCGTATGTGCGAGCAATGAGGAGCAGGTGAGGGGCTAGGGGAATTGACCAGTGGTCGCAGATGCGGTGTGAGGGACACAGAAGCGGAGTCGCTTCTGCGGGGGGATCGATCGTAGAAGTGGACGAGTGCTTGGGGAGGCTTCCGCAGAAGCGGACGAGGGACCACAGAAGCGCATCCGCAGATGCGGACATTTGCGCGCAGGTGCAAAATCGGGGAGCTTAAGTGAACTCCGCAGATGCGAAGACTTCACCGCAGAAGCGGTGCTGCAGAAACGATATTTGGTCCACAAAAGCGGAAATCCTGGGGAGACTATATTAAATCAAGTGTTCGTGATTTTTATCATTTTGGACATTTTGAGCTCGGGTCTTGGCGAGTTTTGAGAGAATTTTTTAGGGGTTTCTTTAGTTAAGTCCCTTGTACTTATTTTTTATCAATAGTCTTATTTCCCCCATTGATTTTTTCACCTAGATTGTGTGTGTTTAGGTGGAATGTGGGAGTTCGAGGTTAGGGATTTGGAGAGTTTGATTTGAGAAATTGAGTGGCGATTTGATGTCAAATTTTGATAATTTTGGTACGGGTGAACTCGATATTGTATGGGTGTTCGTATTTTGTGACTTTTACCCGATTCCAAGATGTGGGCTCGGGTCGACTTTTTAGGACGATTTTTGATTCTTTGCTAAATTCGTTGATTTATTATTTAAATTAGTTTCTCGTAGTTGTATTTATGTTATGTAACTGCCTTTGGCTAGATTTGGGCCATTCGGGGTCGAAAAATCGAGGGAAAGGCATCCTTACCGATTGATTGAGCGAGATTTGAGGTAAGTGACTTGTCTAACCTTGTGTGGGGGAAATCCCCTTAGGATTTGGTACTGTTGTAACAATTTGTTATATGTGAGCGTCATGTACGCGAGGTGACGAGTGCGTACACGGGCTGATTATGGAAAAATTCGGTTCTTGCTGATTTGTCATCTTTTAAATTTCTGTAACTAAGTTGTCTTCTTTTAAAAATACATTAACTGAGTTGCTTTAGCATATGTAGTGATCATGTTTAGCCTAGTATCGCATGTCTGCGTGCCTTAACTCTTACTTGTAATTTGTGCAACATGCTTAGTTGAATTATTTGCTTTCCTTGATTTAAATTAAATCTTTAGCTGTGAGATCCTTGTTGTAAATTCGTGTTTCCTTCAATTACCTACTGCATATTTATTTTGGGACTACGAGGTGATTCCTCGGGAGATCCCCCTTTACTATATATTTACTTTGGGACTATGAGGCGGTTCCTCGGGAGATCTCCCTTGTACTGCATATTTTCTTTGGGACTACGAGGCGGTTCCTCGGGAGATTCCCATGTACTGCATATTTACTTTAGGACTACGAGGCGTTTACTCGGGAGATCCCATTGTCTTGCCTATTTACTTTGGGACTACGAGGCGGTACCTCGCGAGATCTCCCCATGTCATGCATATTTACATTTGGGACTACGAGGCGGTACCTCGGGAGCGCCCCTGTTGTTTACCTCTATTTACTGTGCTGATATTTTCTGAAACTTCTTATTGTTTAAATTCTCAGTCATTTCAAAATATTACTATATCTTCTTCCTTATGTTTCTTTTAAACTAGTAGGGCCCTGACCTGACCTCGTCACTACTCTACTGAGGTTAGGCTTGGCACTTACTGGGTACCGTTGTGGTATACTCATACTACACTTCTGCACATCGTTTTGTACAGATCCAGGTTCTTCCCACCAGACCAGATACCAGTGAGTTGGACCGCACGTGGAGACTTCAAGGTATATCTGCCAGCGTCCGCAGACCTTGGAGTCCCCATCTATCCTTACTATGTTGTTTTCCTTATTTTTCTTTAGACTCTGATGTATAGAGACACTTAGTATTTTCTCTTAGAAGCTTGTGACTTATTTCTACCGGGTTTGAGGAGTTGTAATTATGGATTTGCAGTTTTATATTTATATATCCAGTGTTGAGATTGGAGTTTAGTTTGTTATTCATTCATTCCGTAAATTGTTAGGCTTACTTAGTCTTAGAGACTAGGTGCCATCACGACATCCTACGGAGGGAAATTGGGGTTGTGACACCCCCTCGGCTAATCATAAGAACTATAACTGTAATTAACACAGTAAATCAAAGTACACTCCATTCAGGCTAGCAAAAATGCGCACACAAGGAGTACAGCCTAACAGCCATTGGAAAAGAGAAGCAACTTCTCATAAGTGAATTGAGAAAAAAATTATGAAAAAAGTTGAGCAAACTCCATCAAATCTCTCTACAATTAGGAGCCTGTTTGGATGGGCTTAAGTTTTTAACTTGTGGAAAACCCAAAACCAATAAGTTGGAAAACCCAACTTTTTCTAAATTGGCTTAAAAGCCATATTGCTTTGACCAAGGATATTACATTCTTATCCCTTATAATTGTTCTTAATCCCAAAATTACCCCTAAGTAAAAACCCTACAACATACTATTTTATTTTTCCCCATTCTCCAATATTTGTCAATTTCTTGAAGTTCTTAACGTGAAGCAAACAATAGTTTTTTAAATAATGTTTGATACATTCCAATATTTTGTAAATATTGTTCTTTTGGCTTCTTTTTTTGGTTCCATAACATTTAATTTTTTTGGTCGTTGAATCCTTCCTTTTTTTTTTTTAATTGGTGTAACTATATTCTAAAATCATATCATTCAATGAATTTACATGTTACCCCTGAATTTGAAGCTATGAACAGAAAATATAATATTATGGTAATCATCTTCTTTATAATGTTAACAACTTTAAGGATATTTCAGTCATTTTAACAAGAAAAAGTGCTTACCAGCACTTGTTTACCAAACACTTCATCAGCTTGTTTTAAGTTTCAGCACTTTTATCCTAACACGTAACTGTTTATTTATAAAACAAGTTCCAGCACTTATAAAGTGCTTTTAAGCACTTAACTTAAAAGCCACTTTTTTTAAGCCAATCCAAACGGACCCTAGGTCTTTTCTGAAGCTCTTGTTGGTTATTTGTTGCGATAAATGGTCCACAGTTCTAACATAAATCTGATGTCTATGGAAATACTCATTCCCAAAAGAACAAGATACCAATCCCAAGACGAAAGTTAAGTGGCCAAGGCGTTAATAAAAGTACTTTTATCAGAAGAGCTACAATACACATAATTACGGAAAAAGAGAAAGGTAAGAAAACTTGGGATGTGGACAAATATAGATGCCATTTGAAAGAAAAATCTTATGTCTTGTTGTGGACTCATAAAAGTACAACATCAGATCACGCTGATATGAGGCAATATAAAGAGTTACCTGAGTAGATCATTAGGTTTTCCACAGGATACACAATAAAAGATTCCATTATTGCCCTCGTCTAATTTATCAGTTGCAATACCAGATTCTCCATGCTTAATGGCACACTCAAGGTGACATGACATACCACATGAATCCCCTTGAAAAGGAGGCTCTGAGCTGCAAATCAACCATAGACTAGGGTCCTTGTTGTCATCATAGTTACGGCAAATACAACATGAACACCTTTTGCAAAATGCATCTTCGCAACTTAATTTAGCTCTGCAAGCCAAATTTTTGCAGTACACAACATTGTCTAAACTATTATTAACATTTGTTGTTGAAGAATTATTAGCCTCAATAGGAAAACGACTTGGATGCTCAGCTTTCCTCTGCCTCTTGGAACTCCTCTGACCACTCTCTGATGAAGGCTGCATTTCAAGATTAGATGTACTTCCATGCTCCAGTGAATTCTTCTCAGATACAATTTTCAGAAGGTTTTCTATTATTTTTAATTTTGTCAGTCCAGTATACTTCCTTTCTTTTCCCATCTCTGCACACAATATCTGCAAAATCTCCTGACGGCTCCAAGATTGCAGCATTTCAGGGGCACCATGTGACCGCTTTGATAATTCATAAACTAATTCCCTCTTTTCCTTCATACTCAATTTACTGCACTTAGATGGATCAAATGCAAAACCTAGAACAAGAAAGCAGGAAAGGTAACTTCAAACAAACAAGTTTGTAAATTCCTATCCAATAAAAACCAATATGGTTAGCAAAGTACATTTGACAAGTCAAATGTAATAAAAACTGAGACGTTGCTGTTCTTCTCTTTCTTTTAATTCTTAAAATTTTAAATTATTTGTGTAGCTTCAGTTCATTTTTGAAGGGCCTTCAAGCTAATATCGTTCAATTTTCTATATTAAAAAGTCATTAAGTTCAATTTTCTTACTGCTTGTGGCTTCCCTCAGTAATGGAATATACTTCAACTGCAACCAGATTACCAGAAAACACAAAGAAAAGCCATTATTTGCAATCAAATGGCAAATGCAAGTAATAGGACAAACGGAGAGAGAGATCATTCAATCGATCAACTATGCCACTAATCCCAAACTAGTAAAGTCAGCTATAATCCTCATATTTATTCTGCTTTATTTGGGTCCAACTCATCTCACAACTAAATATTTTATCTTTTAAAGAAAATTTGGTGATCTTTAAGATTAGAGTTTCTCTAAATCTTACACTTATCGTGAAACTGATATATACAAGTCTCTAACTTATAGTCATAATGCAAGTATAACTACAAATAAACATTAATCCAAACTAGTTGGTATCACCTATTTGAGTCATTTGCTTCTATGTGTATTCTGTTCCTAGTTAAATCCCTGTTTGATTCTAAAAATATTGTAGGTTTTCTGTTCTATTCTAAGCTGAGCCCTTATTAATTTCAAGAGACTGTAGGTCTTCTGTCTCCAATTCAACCACCCTGCTTTAGTTTAATATGTTAGTTAAATCCCTGTTTGATTCTAAAAAAATTGTAGGTTTTCTGTTCTATTCTAAGCTGAGCCCTTATTAATTTCAAGAGATTGTAGGTCTTTTGTCTCCAATTCAACCACCCTGCTTTAGTTTAATATGTTACATCTTCATTTATCATTACATTCTCTTGCAAACTGAACCTAGATATTTGAGTTGTCTGCATTTAAAGGTCAAAGTCTAGTCTAATCCCATCTCAACATCATTCTTCTTATAGTACTAAACTTAATAGTGCATATACTTTGTTTTACTTCTGCTTATCTTAAAACTCTTCCTTTTTGAGTAATTATCGAAAATTCCAACTTTTGACTGAATCACTCGCCAATTTACTTGATAAACACAATATTACCGGCAAATGTATGCACATAGAACAACATCTTGTATACACAAGGTTAACTCATCTATAAATCAGCTAAACAACTATAGACTCAAAGCAGATCTCTAGTGTAAGGTGTTCTTTTCTTTTTTGGAAAGAGTAAAAGAGCATAGATATGTAGACATTACAACGATGACGAAGAATGCTTTTATTTTATGCTTGGTAGATATAATGTTGAGGGTATTTCTTTTCTTCTGCTACAAAATTTCATTGTCTTTTGACGTTTGCGTAGAAAATCACTAATTTCATACACAAAGACAAGGAACAATCAGTTTTTTGTTTCGGTAAAAAAATTCATTGGATGCTGATATGCGCAACTGTTAACATCTCAAAAATCTTAGCTGAATCAGAATCTCCCATTCAAACATAAAAATTAAATTAAATTAGCACATCCCATTATGAATTTCGTTAATGACACTTTCACATCTCCTTGGCCTCCTCTCCTTCAACCTCCTCTCTCTATATGCACATCTCTCGTCCCCATGTCCGGAGCTTTATCCAAGCAATAAATCCCTTCGGCGCACTCAATAACCTTGGAACGTAAACATACTCGTAAACGAACCCCCTTCCTTTTAACATTCTGCTTGTTAATAGATGTTACACGTGCCAGCTAAGCTCACAATCTATCAATCACCTATTCCTGCAGTATCCAGTGGTTGCTGATATCTGGCATATGTTCTTCTCAGTTTTTAGCGTCAGTTGGACATTACCTCAGAGCATCAAGGAAGGCTAGAACATTTGGAAAGTTGATAAGGCCATTAAGAAAATCTGGCAGATGATCCCAGCATGCAATTATTTGGTGTATTTGGTCAAAAAGGAAACAAAGATGTTTTGATGGCATTTCAACTCCAAACGACACCTTGAAAGCTAGATGTCTACTGAATCTTTTTAGTTGGAGTAATTTTACTCCTGTAAATAATGTTGTCCTTTATCTTCACTTTATTAGCTCTCTTACCCTGGCTTGATAGCCTACTTTTCCAGTGCTCTATATTTTTGGTTAGCTCCCTGATCTTAGTTTAGAAGATGTTGTAATGGAGTTAACATACTTTTGTACTTATTGCATCTTCTTGATGCCAGCAATATAGCATCTTACTTCATCAAAAATAATCAGAACACCCTTCCTTTTTCTTTTCATTGAAATTTTTATGTTCTCTCAGATTTTTACCTTACCTACCATGGCTACTTTTATATTCACTACAATTCTTGGAGTGGGAGTAGCCATGGCTATTATATGCCCTAGGCATGTAGTCATGCGTGCTTTTAGGGCTTGGAATTGCCCGCACGCACAGCATTCTGATTTTGGGTGCATGCTTTGCTCTGCCCCGCACATGGATTCTCTGACAAGATAGCTTTTAGTAAAATGTTCCTAACTTTTTGTGAGAATGTCCAAATGATCGAAAGGTTTGAAGCGTTGGAAACTAGACTTTAAGGGGATTTAATTGGCCATCTAATTCACTCCTTAATTCATTATACATTGGGAATTGTGATCATTTGATGTCAGGGCATGTGTGACTATGGTCGTCTTCTTCCTTTATACAATTGCAACTTGTTTCGAACTACCTTTTCCTTCTTCTAAACATCCACACTACCTCTTGTACATAATATTTAGGTAAAGTTTTAGAAAGATAAAGGTAGAGAATGTAGCTATTTCTCCTTTGACTTGACATTGTCATAGCACTCCATTTCCTTGAATATTTCCAAACTGACCATATAATATGGTCGTGTCATTGTAAAGTAGGAATCATGTCCATAATTCCTCAGTTCTCATAGGTAAACCCTTTACAAATTGTAAAATGTGACCACAACACTGTAGGCAGAGAAAATGGCATAGTTATCACATTGTTGATATCTTCCAAATATAATAATTATACTCGCCCCAGAAGAGTAGGTACGTAGGTAACTAACCACCAATTCTACCACCCATTTCAGTAAACCAAAACATTAAAAAAAATTACACAATGTGAGAAAAACAAGAACTAATTATTATACATATAAAACAGTAATTAAATTTCATACTATAGTATGCAAGAGATAAAATAAAATTAACAGTATGTATAAAGAAAAGAAAGAATGGATGAAATTAACACCATTCAATATATCAGTAAAACATTAGCAGGATGATAAAGTAACAGATCAGAAATTTCACAGCTACTTCCTCTGTCCCAATTCGTATTTTGCCTAATTTGACCAATACTTGAAAATTGATTTGACTTAATATTGGATATTCTTGTGAAATTCTTACTTTACTAGCCATTGTTTTTGGCAGAATAAAGCCAAAAAGAAAAGAAAATTACCCTCAAAGGAAGAATTGTCCATGGCAGCTGGTAAAAAACCAACCACCCTTTGTAGCCTTAGCACCTGAGACCCACAGTTTCTGAAACAGAAGGGATGGGATTTTCAATCAGATTATAACTTTGACCCAAACAGAGAGAGAAGCATAGATATGTATCGCTCACCAGTTTCATGTGGTGTGAAAGATCACACAATCACACACGTTAAAGAAAGAGAGTGGGAGAATAGAATAGAAATAGTAGAAAAAAGGCGAGGAATCCATGACGAGAAAGGGATCTTTCAACGTGGGCTTTTCGGTACCCGAAGCAGTAGTTGCTCTTGATAGTACTTGATAGAGAGAGGGTGGTGGGGTCCTCGTGTGGGTCCAAGGGGTGCAGATTTGGAGGAGGAAATTAAATATATTTACGATATGGGCTAGTAATTAGCTCTTTTTTAAAAGGCACAACTATGACTCGCGGGGCTCGCCCGGGACAAAGCACTCGTAAAATACTCCTGGGCTTATGTGTGGGGTTTAATTTCGTGAGACTTATACCTTAATTATCGGGGCTTACGTCTCGGACACGCCCAACGTCCAGCGTATTGGACTCGCCTAGAAGAACTTTATGCAATTGTGTGTAACTAACTTTGTAAATCCTCAAATTTTCGTAATAAATCGTTGACTATTCAAAATTACTTTTTTCTTAATTATAAATCATTAAGTTGAGAGTATTTTATATCATAATTAAAATAAAAATTATTGCACGTTATCCACTAAGACTGCTATGATAGTAAATTTTAAATAAATCTTTTATTTAAAAAATATTATTTATTAACTTTTGTTATGTCTTTATTATATAATAGTCCATAATTTTTTTATAATTTTTTTCCGAAATATTTTTTTTTCACATTTACGAGATACAATACTTATTAATTGAATAGCTCAGTATTAGCTAGTAACTATTTATAAATAATTAGTTATCATGGTATAGTATGGTGAATTATGTGTCACTTTATTAACTTGTTGAAACTTAAAAATAAATGATGTTAGAGAATCATATTTAAATTGTGAATTATGTTTTTATATAACTTCTCTTTAAATAAAAGGAGTATTTTAAAAAAAAATCAAATTATAATATCGGAATTCTTTCAAGATTCATTACTCCTTAAGAGATACATATAAGATTTCGTATCGAATACATTACTTTTGATGTTTGAGTTGTAACGTCGTTGTAGCTAATTTGCATATTATGATATATGTCATACTTTTCGTATTATTCATAGTTGAATTATAATTTATAAATATTTTAAATAGATTATTTATTATAGTTTTGTGATTTTAATGTAATTTTTATAATTATTTTTTATTTTATATTATCTTAAAATTCTTGAAATTAGTAAAATTTAAAGATCTGTGGGACTTATGCCCCATGTCTCAGGGCTTACGCCTCGCCTCGTTAGAGGTAAAATGCCTCGCCTCAGGCCCCCGCCTTTTAAAACATTGATAACTAGTATACGTAAGCCACCACCACAGGATGTGGTGCAGCGGATGGGGCTGCTCTTCCCTTAACCAGAGGTCTCGAGTTCGAGCCCTGGGTATGGAAGAATCCTTGGTAGGGAGCGCTTCCCCCCGAATGAGGCCCTATCGGTGCGAATCCGAATATAATCGGGCTCCAATACAGGTACCGTACACCAAATGGGAAACCAAAATAAAAAGTATATGCAAGCCACGAAGGAAAAGGAAAAAAAAGAAAGAAAAGGGGAAAACCAAAAGATACAATCTCGGATATAATGGTTATTAATTTGAACATGCAAATATGAATTATCAAAGTTTAATTAGACACATATAGCTTATTTTACTTATGTTTTAATTATATAAGATACAAACATATTATGAAACATATCTTACTTAATATTTCCTTATAGCTAAACATGTTCTTGGTGTAGATCACACATAATTAGAATACACACAAATTTCGATTTTGCAAGTTTAAAGAGAAGGAAATTAAAGATAAATAGCACCCAAAAAAAGAGAAACCACTTTTGTAACTGAATTAATCTCCAAAAATTAAACAAGATCTAGCAACATGAAAGGCCATAGTTATGGAGGAATTATCACTTTATTCCCATTAAGAGCAAACTATTTACCCTTTTAAGCTGTCACGATCCAAAATCCACTATAGGTCGTGATGGTGCTCAACATCGCCGTTAGGCAAGCCAACACCTAATTATTCATTTTATCATTTTTAACATCATAAGTCTTCCTTGGATAACGAGGTTAATACGTTAAAATAAATCGTGGTTACGTACAGTTTCGTTAAAATAATATGTGAAAGTGAATCAGTGTAATATAAACCATAACAAGTTCTGAAGCACCCCCAAAAATCGGTGTCACAAGTGCATGAGCATTTGCTAAGGAGTACAATAACAATAATACATCTGTCCAGAATGTAAATAAGACAGGATCAAGTAAATAGAATAATGGAGACTTTGTGGACTACGATGCGTGGCCTGGAATGCAGCTCACATAAAGTCTCCCTCACAGCTGCGCCTACGCGCCAGGCTGATCACCAAATGAACCTGTCAAATCCTGTACATTTAGTGCAGAAGTACAGTATGAGTACGTAAATCAACGCGTACCTAGTAAGTATCTAGCCTAACCCCGGAGAAGCAGTGACGGGGGTCTACATCGACACTTACTAGAGGTCCAACAAAGCAATATAATAAAACAATACGCAGATGTGAAGCACACAACCATAATGGGATAAATCTGTAGGTTACCTAATATTCTAAATATTTCTTTTAAAGTATGAATTTCTCAGTCTTGTATTCTACCTCATCAGCTTAGATATGTCAAGTATCATAAACAACGGATAAGAAGTACCATGTAAAATGTTGGGCATCAGTGGAAGGATAATCTCGTGAATGTTCGGACTACCAGCGATATAACGCACGATTATGTCGAGGTTGTTCGGCCCAATCCAGAATAATGTGTACACTGCCGAGGGTCAAGCAACACGAACCATAGATGCATCTATTATACTGCCGAAGCGTTCGTCCCGCTCCACAAGAAAGAAAGGAAATTATCGAATTACAAGACACGTGCTTACAATACAATACATGAGCACAAAGTGAATATAATCTTTACCGTTGCTCAAATAACTAGCCAACAACTCAAGGTGATAAGGCTCGGCCTAGTATACATATATTTATTTGTAAATCAATTTCAATTATAAATTCAATTAATTAGGTCAGCAAAATGAGTCCAAACAATTCAAATATTACATGATAAATTCCTAAGTCTACCCGGACATAAACATGTTTTAGCTACGTACGGACTCTCGTCACCTCGTGCGTACGTAGCACCCACAACTAGCTACGCATAACAATAATTATCACCTAGGGGTAGTTTGCCCCTCAGAAGGTTAGACATGAGACTTACCTCGCTTCGAAGTTCCATAACCGGCTCCAACGCCACTCTAACACTCAACTCCAAGCCAAACATTCCGAAACTAGTCAAACAATATGCAACTCAATCAAAATATACTCCAATGCTTATAATTTAACAATTTATAACAATTCTCAACTCTGCTCTAAAAGTCAATAAAGTCAACCCTCAGGCCTACGTGCCCGGATTCCAAAAATATTCGAAGATAGACTTTACCCATAACACCATGAACTCAAATATATAATTTATTCTAATTACCATGTCCAATTTCGTGGTGAAAATCCAAAAATACCAATTTTTAGGTTTTCTACCAAAATTTCAAATTTCTACTCATTTCTATGTTTAAATCCACATATAAACCATGCATTTAACTCACAATATGTGGGAATTACTTACCTTGACATAGATGATGAAATCTCCACTTGAAGCTCTCCAAAAATCGCCCAAGCCAAGAGAGAATGAAAGAAAATGGGCCAAACCCCATTTTTTAAAAACCACACTGCCTAGAAAATTCTGCTTATGCGATCCAGAAGGTCGTTTCTACGACAGCCGCTTCTGCGGCTTCAAATCTTGCACCTGCGAGAACCCAGGCCAGGTCGCGCGGCCGCTTCTGCGGCCCTGATGCGCATTTGTGCCCCCGCTTCTGTGCTGCCCCACTACGCAGGTGCGGTCCCGCTTCTGAAACGAAACGAATGTATTTGCGGTCTCATCACTACCCAACCAAAATTCGCTCCTTCGCTTGCATGGCCGCTTTTGCGGCGTCGCACCTGCAACCCTTTTTTCTGCAGGTGCGATTGCACCAGTACTCAGGCCCTTCGCAATACAACAAATCTCTAAAGTGATCTGCGACTCGTTTGAAACATACCCAAGGCCCCCGGGACCCCGTCCGAACTTACCAACAAGTTCCATAACATAACACAGACCTACTCGGGGTCTCAAATCACACCAAACAATATCAAAATTGCGAATCAACGATCGAAACCTTTCTTTAAACTTTCAAACTTCGACGAACGTGTCCGAATCATATGAAAATATTCCGGAATGATGCCAAACTTTGCGTACAAGTCCATAATCACGATACGAACCTATTCCAAGTCTCGAAACTTCGAACGAACATAGATAACACCAAAATTCATTTCAAATCAAACTTAAGAGCTTTTTAAACTTTCAAAATGCCAACCTTCTATAATAGGCGCCGAAATGCTCCCGGACTACCCGATACTCAACCCGAATATACGCCCAAGTTCGAAATTATCATACGAACCTATTGGAACCTTCAAATCCCGATTCTGAGGTCGTTTACTCAAAAGTCAATCCCTAGGAAATTATTCCAACTTAAAGCTTCCGAAATTAGAATTTTCCATCCAAATCAACTCTGAACTTCCCAAAATTTAATTCCGACCACATGTACAAGTCATAAAACATGAAGTGAAGCTACTCAAGGCATCAAACCACCGAACGATATGCTAGAGCTGAAAACGACTGGTCGGGTCGTTATATTCTCCCCTACTTAAACATACGTTCGTCCTCGAACGTGCTAAGGACTGCTCCAGAGTTGTCCAAAATCACTATTTAACACCTCGTGCACCTACCCATGCCACCTCAACCCAGTTGAACATATTAGCTTGATTCAGACTGAAGATCCTCCCTTTTATTTAGTCAATAAGCCTTAGAACCAAATTCCAACCTCCGAATTTCTCTACAAGACCTAATTCTAACATACGAACACCATATCAATCACTACACACTGTACCAAAACATGATCATGCACATATGTTGAAGTCACACCATGTACCACATAAGTCGGTTGCCCATAATAATATTCTCCGACCATAATAGCTGGAATTTCATGAATCTGATACCCGCAATACACCTCATGACGCA